CGGTTGAAAGTTCTTTTTTCTTGGTATATTTTTGTTGGAGCAAGTTTCCCGTCCTCTTCAATTCAAAAAGTTTATTATGGAGAACGCTTATTGCTCGGTTAAACGTATCATATTACAACGGGTTGCCAAGAAGGCTTATGGCAATTTACAGCAGAGGATACACTCGCTGAAGATAGTTGGCTTTATGATACAACGGAGCGATACGTTCGCTGAACGTAATCGATCTACGGTACAACGATTCGAAACGAGAGTTAAATATTTGCTAATATATTACTTGTTAACCAACACGCAGAAGGCTAGGACAGATGGTATTATAGAAAAGTATGAAAGCGTCAAAACGCGAAAATTTGGCTGAATATGAATAGAATCAGTGTAACTAATAAAGAGCATTACCACCAACTTGTAATAAACAAGGAAAGAATAAAAACTTGAAAAAAACGTGTCCAACGGTCACTGGTTGACTTAGTGGTCCTTTATTGGCACAGCTACGGTAGACCGCTACAGTCATTGGTTGAGTGAACGTGTCTTTTTCTTTTGTAAAATTATTGTAAGAGCGAAATTTATGAAACATGTGGCATGACTGCTGAGATTGAGCACATTTTTTATGTTCTCAATATGGAGTATTGTCAGAGACCAAATTTCATAAGTGTAGTTATTGCATGAATTGTGGAAGAAGAGCTGCAAAAGACATGTAAAAAACATTTTACTTGACAGAATGGTGTTCCAGTTTATACTTGTCAACACAATCCTGATGCACAGCCTGCATGTATAGTGTGATACCGTAAATGATAAGCTGATAATGGAAATTTGTTACTCAACGCCTTAGTAACTGACTTAGGAAGCTGTGTTTTTACTTATTCTGAAATCAGATTTAATGCTAAAGGACATTGCATTCTTGTTACCAAGAAGCATAATAAAAATGTTCAGGAAATAAGCCAAAGAGGATGAAATAATATGTTACCTGTTTTTAAAAGAAGCATTGCTAAGATTAATAAATGTATTCTTCTTCCGGGTTCAAATCAGCATTCCAATAGGAAAGTTGGTAAATTTAATTTTAGTTT